TGACTGACACGGGACTGGAAGTAGCAGTGGCAGCAGCAGCAGAAGTGGTGCTCGTCGTCGTCGTAGCAGAAGAAGACTGTCGGCGCCGTTGACAGAACTGTGCGACCACGACCACGGCCACAGACAGACAGCAGCAGCAGTAGTGCCAAAATGTGCCTGAGAGAGAGAGAGCAGACGGTGCACAGCAGAGAATGAAGAGAACCGAATGAAGAGAGCCCCGAACACTGAACACTGAACACTGAACACTGAACAGAAGTGCAATATAAATCGATATATGCAGAAAGAAGCAGCAGCAGCAGCAGCGCCAGTGGGTGCTTCAAGACGACCATTTGCTGAGGAATGATAGTCGTGGTGGTGGTGGTGGTGGTGGTCGTCGTTGTCGTTCCAGAAACACCAGGGGCGCCAAAAGAAGAGAATAAAGAGGAGAAAATAGCTGCAGAGTTGTTGGCCAAATCTGGGGCCCTAGAAAAGAGGTGGTCGGCTGAGCCCTGGCTGTGCCAGAGAGCTGAGTCAAAGCAGCCGATGATTAGTCACTTGACGGCAAAGTGAAAAGAGAAAGAGAGAGAGCTGCCACTGCTTCTGACTAGAACATCAGCGCCAGCAGCAGAGGCATCATCATCATCTAAATGAGAGTGCCTGTGACGGACAGCGCCGTCATCGGCAGCAGCACCACCGCCGATGGCAGATAATGAGCCAGCATTGATGGTGGCAGCAAGTGACGTGCCGCCTGCTAGCCTAGCCTGAACAGCACACCACCAGTACAACCATTCTCCGGTGGATGGCTGCTGAAAAGATGCGCCTCAGTGTGGGGAGAAAGCATCAGCAGCAGCATCAGCATCATCAGCCTCAGCTTCATCAGCTTCAGCAGCATCCTCAGCAGCGATCCAAAGATGAGCGGCAGTTGCAGTTGTGTCTGCGTGCACAAATACTGCCGCTGCTGCTACTGTCTGTTTTGCTATAGCACGGGTGATCTATGAGGCTGGTGGTGGTGGTGGTGGTGGCCCGTGTCAGTCTCCCGACTCTGTCGTCTCTGTCGTCGCCGCCGCCGCCGCCGCCGCCGCCGTTTGACTGATTTGTTCGATCAATACTTTGACACGAAGAAGACGGGCTGCTGCTGCTGCTGGGGCACACACACAGGAGAGACTCTAGAGCACTACTGCCTCGTTTCTACTACTTTCCGAGCGATAATGACGGCGGTGCTGCTGCTGAAACGATGATGACGATATAGTAGCAGTAGGCACATACAGTAGTCCAGCCCGAGGAGATGGACACTGTCAGACACTGTTTGGCACCGAACAGCGCGACTTCAGTGTCACTGTCAGCAGTAGTGGGTAAGAGCAGCAGTAGCAGCAGCAGCAGCAGCAGCTGTCATAAATACTGAATGAGTCGATCGATTGACAAATGCCAGCAGAGGGGAGCCAGTGGACTTTTTCGGCAGCAGCAGCAGCAAAGACGAAGACGAAGACGGCAAACACACAGCAAAGACACATTCACTCATTCATTCACTCACTCACCACTAAACTAATCGCCGTAATTGGAGGAGTAGGTGCTGCTGCTGCTCCCGCCGCAGACAGGATTGCCCGATACGATGTGTTCCCCCTGTTTGGCAAAAGTCAGCAGGAAGAAAGTCTGTCAGCATCAGAAACGAGTGAGTAAAAACGGTGGCGACAGGAGTGAGCTGATAAGACGAAAAACTCTGATAAGAACGTTGAAGAGAGGTGCACCGACAACAACTTTTTTTTGAACAGGTGCTCCCACTGCTAAAAACTGCTTAAAAGTGACTGCTTCTAAGCACAGGAAAACCGCGTTCCAATTGGAACTATTGAAAGAGCGCAATCTTCCCCTTAAGTTCTCAAAAACTCGCCATGTAAAGAGAGATTGATGGCGAAAGAGTGAGGAGCCCCTGAAATAAGCACACACACACACACTTTAACCGAGGCAAAAGGAGCAGACATACCCGCACCAATTTTCTCCTTTCAGAAACGTTCCAATCTCTCTCTCTCTCTCTCTCTCTCTCTCTCTCTCTCTCTCTCCATTCTGTCGCCAACTATTTGTCCCCTCTTCAAAGAAGAGAGCCAGATCGTTCCTTCCCCCTCTCGGCATCAAAGATGGCAACAGTCACACATCACAGAGACAGACAGAGAGGACAGTGGTTTGGGCTCTGACTGACTGACTGCGAAACTGACAGAAGAAGACAGTGGCAGTTTCACAGCATCCTCTATTGCTCCTTTCGTTGCTATATACCACCAAACCAAAAAAAGTGCGATGAAGATGAAGAGGATGATGATGGCACTTCCACTAGAGCCGACGATGACAAAGTGTGATGACCGATTGACAGAGAGAGAGAGACTTTCGGGGGTAGGAAAACTCTTTCCCCCCAACTCTCAGTGCTCCAACGTTAAAGAGCTAACCAAAGAAAACGTTCTGGTCAAACGGGGAGAAAAAGGCGACCAAAAGCAAAGCTGACGTTCAGCAGTTCAGAAGTTGATGATGGGTTGGAAGCGATGATGTAGAAAATCATCATCACTTCCATCGGCTATCGCTAACTCTGGCCGACACTGGCGCGACACTGCCTGCCTGACTTCTTGTCCTTTTAGCTTTGCCTACCCTCAAAGCGCCAAGCCGACGGATAGCTGTCGATAGCCGCTGATAGACACGTTTAGTAGTAGGCAGTAGGCAGCAGCNAAAACGTTCTGGTCAAACGGGGAGAAAAAGGCGACCAAAAGCAAAGCTGACGTTCAGCAGTTCAGAAGTTGATGATGGGTTGGAAGCGATGATGTAGAAAATCATCATCACTTCCATCGGCTATCGCTAACTCTGGCCGACACTGGCGCGACACTGCCTGCCTGACTTCTTGTCCTTTTAGCTTTGCCTACCCTCAAAGCGCCAAGCCGACGGATAGCTGTCGATAGCCGCTGATAGACACGTTTAGTAGTAGGCAGTAGGCAGCAGCAGTAGCTGTCAATACCTGATTGCTGCACTTTATGGCTGCTTGGTCAGTGGCTTATCTACAGGCAGCTAAAAACGGCGAAGAGAGGAGAAAATGCTTTCGTAGTCTTCGGGCACTAATAAAAAGGCACTTGCTCATTTAGGAGAAGCAGATAGCTGACCAACTTGGCGGCTTCTGTGTGTGTCTTTTTTCTTTGTATCCGTTTCAATCTAAAGTGAGCAGCACTTAAGTGAAAGAATTCGCTGATCTGATTCTCGGAAATAGAACTTCATTAAACGATTTGCCTTTTACGGTAAAAGAAGTTAGTTAGTGAACAGAACAACACACTTATTTGAGGACTTTGTTTTAAAAGTGGGCGGGGTAAAATGTACAAAGCGAGGAAACGTTCACAGATGATGAAAAGGAGGCACACCGGAGAAAAGAGACTCATCGGACTTACTTGAGGAGGAGAAAAGAATGCTCAAATATCCTGAGATGGCTGAGTGAGCTTAAAGACGGGCGCCGGTGCGCCGGCCTCCCTCGGCCGGCCAAACTCCAGAAAGACGTCCTTGAGCGATCGCTGCAGCTTCTGGCTGGTGACGCCCTCCAGCGGGGTGCGCCCCTCGCCGTTGGTGGCCTTCACGTCGGCGCCCGCCTCGAGCAGCAGCTGCACCATGCGCAGGTTCTCCTCCTCGCAGGCGATGTGCAGGGCGCTGTTGCCCAGTTTGTCCTTCCCGTCCAGGTCAATTTTGCCCGCTTTGGATACAGTCAGCAGGTACTCCACCACCGCCTCGCGGTTCGCCAGCACCGCCCGAATGAAGGGCGTGTAGCCGAAGCGGTCTCGGGTGTTCAGCGGACAGCCATTGTCCACCAGCAGCTTCACCACCTCCAGGTGGCCCTTGCCGCAGGCGAAGTGGAGCGCCGACTGGCTGTTGGCGGTCACCGCCTGGACGTTCGCCCCCCGCTCCACCAGGTAGGCGACCACCTCGCGGTGGCCGGCGCTGGCGGCGATGATCAGCGGCGTCCAGCCGAGGCTGTCCGGCAGGTCGATCGGGTAGACGCCATTGGTTGTTTCCAGCAGCTGTCGAACCAGGTTGATCTGGCCGGCGCTGGCCGCTCGGTGCAGCGGGTTTCGGTCGTCGTCCTCGGCGGCGGCGGCGGCGGTTCCCTTTGGCTGCTGCTGATCAGTTCCACTGACGGCTGACATTTTGTTAGGTGCTGAGTATCAACTGGTGAAAGTGGAGGTGTTAGATCGGAAAAAGGCTTGAGGAAGTTTGAAGACAAAGACACCGGCAAAAGATGAGGAAACAGCGTGGCTGTCAACTGTGAAGGAACAGATGAGCAAAACAAAACAATTTTCAGCTGTCGACGGTGATGGCGCCATCTCTTGGCCGAAATGATAACAGTTAGTGAATTCTTTTCTCTTCTTCCCTAAAAAATGATTTATTGTTATTCCGTTTCCGCTTTTTAACTGATTTATAATTAAACTAAGACCTTATGTCTAGAAAAAATTAGGTGAAAGAGCACTACTTTGTGAAAAGTAGCAGTGCACAGCCCAAAACGGCGAGGTCTGACGACACTTGGGCACTGTGAACGTCCACCGACTCGGGTCTCGCGAGCGGAGCGAGCGGGGCCCNGCCCAAGTGTCGTCAGGGTGAGCCGCTGGCCAAACTTTTAAGAAATGTTAACGGTGCACAGTTAAGTGTGGCGTGAGCGAAGCGAACGCGACTGAGTCCTTGTAGTAACTGTTGGAAAATGTGGATTCCCTCACCAAGGTGGCGCACTTCTTCAACTG